AGAGAGAGAGAGAGAGAGAGAGAGAGAGAGAGAGAGAGAGAGAGAGAGAAAGGTAGATACAATTATTCTGTGAATGTTAATATTCTTTATTATAATCTAATATTATTTCTTAATGTTAGAACAGGAGGGTAAGACACACACTTTCTCTGTGTGATTCACTATCATATCATCATTGAAAACTTTACATAAAATACTTTACAAGTATCATTCTTTTTTTTTACATTTTTCTATTGACTTTTATTGAGCTCTACATTTTTCTCTATTCCCCTCCCTGCTTCTCACTTCCCGACTTCAACCCTCCTCCAAGGTCCCCATACTCCCAATTTACTCAGGAGATCTTGTCTTTTTTCTACTTCCCATATAGTTTAGATCTATGTAAGTCTCTCTTAGTGTCCTCATTGTTGTCTAAGTTCTCTTGCTTGAATTGTGGTTTGTAAGCTGGCTTTCTTTGCTTTATGTTTAAAAACCACTTATGAGTGAGTACATGGGATAATTGTTTTTCTGTGTCTGGGTGACCTCATTCAAAATAATCTTTTCCAGTTCCATCCATTTTTCTGCAAATTTCAAGATGTTGTTATTTTTTTCTGCTGTGTAGTACTCCATTGTGTAAATGTACCTCATTTTCCTTGTCCATTCTTTGATTGAGGGACATTTAGATTGTTTCCAGGTTCTGGCTATGGGAAACAAAGCTGCTATGAACATAGTTGAGCACATATCCTTGTGGCATGATTGAGCATCCTTTGCATATATACCCAAAAGTGGTATTACTGGGTCTTGAGGAAGGTTGTTTCCTAATTTTCTGAGAAATCGCCATACTGACATCCTTGCATGTCATTCATTCCCACCAGCAATGCAGAAGTGTTCCCTTTACCCTACAACCTCTCCAGCATAAGTTGTCATCAGTGTTTTTGATCTTGACCATTTTTACAGGTGTAAGATGGAATCTCAGAGTTGTGTTGAATGGAATGAATGGAATCTCATGGTTGTGTTGAACATTTCCTTAAGTGTCTTTCATGCACTTTTTTAGATTCCTCTGTTGAGAGTTCTCTGTTTAGGTCTTTACTCCTTTTTTTTTCTTGGATTATGTGAGTTCGAGGCCATCTTGGTCTATAAGAGCTAGTTCCAGGACAGGCACCAAAGCTACAGAGAAATACTGTCTCAAAAAACCACAACCTCCCCTCTAAAAAAGGTCAAAATTTAGAACACTTCCCTATAATCCTAGCAGCACAAAAACAGAGAAATAATTCATAAATGGGAACTCCTGAAACTGAAAAGCTTCTGTAAAGCAACACAGTCAACAAGACAAAACGACAGCCTACAAAATGGGAAAAGATTTTCACTAACCCCACATCAGACAGAGGTCTTATCTCTAAAATATACAAAGAACTCAAGAAATTAGTCACCAAAAGAACACATAATCCAATAAAAAATGGAATATTATTCCTATTTAATGCTAAAGCAATATTTTCATATAATGCAATCTATTTTCATAGGTTATACAATAAACCCTACTAATTTCTCTACTTATTTTTTAAAATTTTATTTGCAGTAATGTTTTGCTCACATGTGTTTCTGTGTCTCATTCGTGTGCCCTCAAAAGAGGGCATTGAATCCCTAGGGGCAGGATTTGGTGATTTGGGGATTGTTGTTTTGTTGGGTTTAGCTTAGAAAGCATTTCCTTGGGGCTGGCAAACTGGTCCAGCAGGCCAGTTTCATTCTAGACTGATGGTCTCAGTTCCATACGTGGGACCCACATGGTCGAAGGAGAGACACGAGTTAAACTTCTCCTATGGCTCTATGACCTTCATGCATGTAACATGACTCTTATGTGCCACTTCCAATGAAAAATAAGGATATAAAAATTTTTATAAATGGTTAAAAAACTTTCTTATTCTGATTATAGGTAATTCACATGCTCTTCAAATACTTGAAACAATGAAATTGGATTATTTTTCAGGTTGATATCTTTGATCCTGGTCTCAGACTGTGGAAAACAAATTATCATTATATAATGTATGGTGTACTTTGTCTTATTACAGCTGTTATTCTACAGATTTCTAATATATACTTGTTTATTTATGGCCTTACAGTTGTGTTTCATTTCCATATGAACTTTAATGCTGAAGTTTTAAGTTTCATGGTTTTATAATTTTGTTTTTCCATTAATATTCCATAGTAGCCATAGCCTTGTCTGAGGGAATGATACTCACTCTTTAGTACAGAAACATGGTACACTTCCTAGCTGATTTCACTTGCCTATGTCTGTCAACAAAGTTTTATATTTTCACTTCAACAGTTTTATACAACTATTATTGAATTTATTTTTATTATTTTATATCAATTTTCTAATAATTTATATTGCATATAAGAATGGCATTTATTTTTATACTTTTGATTTATAATAAATTTTCATGTTAATCTTCAAAATGTCACAGTTAATTTATCTGTAGGGTTCTTTTTATCTACAAACTTAATTGGTTCTTTATGAATTTCACATAATGCACTCTAATCCAACTCTTTTGAGTCCTTCTTCATCTGTTCTCTGCCATTATAGCCTTTAGCCCCTTCAAAGAAATAAATCTAAAAAATGACTTCATTCTGTCATCTTTCCCTCTTCCCCATCACATATTCTAATGTAGTAGCTTTGGGAGCTTCAGTGTGTCCTGTCACATACTATTTTGTTCAAACAACTTTCCTTACAAATGTTTATTGCCTCTGGCTTCATCTATCCTGGACTCCTCTTGGCTGTTCTGCTATTGCCCCTAGTCATCAAGATCCTGTGACTATGGTTCTGCAAGACCAGTCTTTTCATGCACTCCAGCAGTCATAGATGGGTTAGATGTTGTGATGGGTCAACTGGAAACCCTGGATGTGGACCTGGATAGTAGCTGTGTTGGTAATCCCAGATCTCCACTAAGACAGCCTCTCTCCACCCCCCTCGAAAAGCAGAGCCAGCTCTCCCTTGCCCTTGCCACTGGACCAACTCTCCCATAATGGTTAGGACCAGTACTCCCAGGGCCAGTGAGGGCAGCACCAGGCCTGTAAAGCTCTTAAACATCAATGTGGCCTCAGGTAGCAGTCCAAACTACAGGCATGCTCATGGTTCAGGCCACGGAGGTCAACATCAACACACACGCAGTAGGACCATGGACCCAGACAAGCTCTTTGGCGGCAGCACTGGCCTGGGCATCACCATGGGCTCTGGTGGCAGTACATGCTCTCACATCAGTCTGTTTCTCCCCTGTTGACACATTTCCAGTTCTACCACTCTCCACAGCACCTTAACTGCTCTATTTCTCTGTCTCTCCCATCTCCACACAACATAATTGCTTTTTGTAGTGGTACCCGCTCTGCCTGGTCCACGCATCACCAGGACAGGCTGGGCCCATGGTCTCTCAATTACTTGGGCTCTTAGTTTTGGTAGTTTTCCATAAAGACACTTCTTTTCAATTTTCTATGTGTGTATGTATGAGTGTCTGCTTGTGTACATGTATGTGCACACCTCTGTGTGTGCACATATGCAAAGCAGAGATTGATAATTGGTTGACATTTGATATTTTGCTCTGTTGTTCTATTTATTAATTTTCATATGCATGAGTCTGAGGCATGAGTTTGTGTATGTGCTTGTGTCTTTTTGTCTGTCAGTCTATGCATGTGAACACACTTGTGTGTACCTGAATGTGGAGGCCTGATGCTGATATCGGGAATCTTTCTTGATCATTGTCTACTTTATTAATTTAGGCAAGTGGTCTCAAGGGAGTCTATAGCTTCATGATATGGTTGGTTTCACCAGCCAGTTTGCTCTATGCATGCAAAAACCAGGTATAATTGGTAAGTTGATATGCCCAATATGCTCTTATTTGGCTTCTGGGAATAAAACCTCCGTTCTTCACACTTACATGGTAAGTGTTTGGTCACTGAGCTATCTCTCCAGTCCTCCTTTCATTGCTGAGCCACCTTCCCGTCCTCCCTTTTCTTTCAGAGAAGGTCTTTCACTAACCTCAAGTTCAGCAACTAGCTAGACAAGCTGGCAAACAAGACCAAGTGGTCCTCCTGTGGCTGCCTCCCAAGGCTGAGATCACAGATATTCCCCATGGAGTCATTTGCTTAACCCTGCTTCCTGCTAGCAATTTATCATTTTGTCCTGGAGTTCAGGCACAAAAACTGGGAAAAAACAGTCTTCTTTGATCTTTACCTTTTATTATTAACTTAAGTAGAATATTTTTTAATATTTTATAATTTAAAACATTCTTGATATATGTTTCTGGGAAATTCCTTTTATCAAATTAAGAAATTCACTGTTGGTCTTATTTTGCTAAGAGGTTTTCCCATAAGCAGAGGTTGAGTCATCTACAGAGATAGTTGGAAGCTTTCCCTTTACAGTGTTTACATATATGTGCATATCGGGAATGAACTGAACTGACCAGACATGCTCTATGATATTTTCAAACACAAAATATACATATACACATGAAAACATTTATTTCATAACTTTATATTTCCTTTGTTCTAGATTACTTTTGATATGTGGACTACACAAACTCCCACATATTTTAGGGTTCTTTTCTTCCTCTTACAAATTCTATTAGATTATGAAAAATGCATA